ATTTATTTGTAAAAAATAATTATTACTTGAATTAAATTCTTTGTTAGTATTCCTGAATTTTTCTGAAAGTATTGCGAACCAAAGTTGAGTTCCCTTTTGTGATAAGTTTCATAGCAATACATAATGAGAAATCAGGTAAAAATGACCTTGAGGCTCTGTATTGGCCCTTTATTGTCCCTATTCCCATTCAAATCTAGCATTTTTCTTCTGTTTGAGCAATTTTTATTTATTTGAGAGGCAGAGAGACAGATAAGAGCGAGCGCCCATCTACTGGTCTACTCCCTAACTCTAACAGCTGGGTCTGGGCCTGGTCAAACTGGGAGCCAGGAACTCAATCCAGTCTCCTGTGTGGATGGCAGTGACACAGCTACTTGAGCCATCTCCTGCCTTTCTTCCAGGGAGTGCATTAGCAAGAAACTAGAATTGGGAGCAGAGCCAGGAGTAGAATTCTGGCAGTCTGATACGCTGTGTGGTCATTCCAATTAGCATTTTTTTTTTTTAACTTTTATTTAATGAATATACGTTTCCAAAGTACGAATAATGGATTACTATTGCTTCCCCCACATACCGTCCCTCCCACCCACAACCCTCCCCTTTCCCACTCCCTCTCCCCTTCCATTCACATCAAGATTCATTTTCGATTATCTTAATATACAGAAGATCAGCTTAGTATACATTAAGTAAGGATTTCAACAGTTTGCTCCCACACAGAAACATAAAGTGAAAAATAATAGATGATTTTTTTTAATGATGATGAAATCAGATCAGACCTATTGTCATGTTTAATCCCAGTGAGAGTCAAGTTGGGAGTTGATAGTTTCTATTCTTTTCTTTTTTTTTTCTTTTTTTTTTTTTTTTACAGAGGATCAGTTTAGTATGCATTAAGTAAAGATTTCAACAGTTTGCACCCCCATAGAAACACAAAGTGAAATATATTATTTGAGTACTCGTTATAGCATTAAATCTCAATGCACAGCACATTAATGACAGAGATCCTACATGAGGAGTAAGTGCACAGTGACTCCTGTTGTTGACTTTACCAATTGACACTCCTGTCTATGGCATCAGTAATCTCCCTATGCTCCAGTCATGAGTTTCCAAGGCTATGGAAGCCCCTTGAGTTCTCCGACTCTTATCTTGTTTAGACAAGGTCATAGTCAAAGTGGAGGTTCTCTCCTCCCTTCAGAGAAAGGTACCTCCTTCTTTGAAGACCTGTTCTTTTCACTGAGATCTCACTCACAGAGATCTTTTGCCAGAGTGTCTTGGCTTTCCATGCCTGAAATACTCTCATGGGCTTTTCAGCCAGATCTGAATGCCTTTAGGGCTGATTCTGAGGCCAGAGTGCTATTTAGGGCATCTGCCATTCTATGAGTCTGCTGAGTATCTCACTTCCCATGTTGGATCACTCTCCCCTTTATTTATTCTATCGGTTAGTGTAAGCAGGTACTAGACTTGCTTATGTGCTCCCTTTGACTCTTAGTCCTTTCATTATGATCAATTGCGAACTGAAATTGATCACTTGGACTAGTGAGATGGCATTGTATGCTGGCGAGGATGTGGGGAAAAAGGGACACTAACCCACTGTTGGTGGGAATGCAAACTGGTCAAGCCACTATGGAAATCAGTCTGGAGATTCCTCAGAAACCTGAAGATAACCCTACCGTTCGACCCAGCCATCCCACTCCTTGGAATTTACCCAAAGGAATTTAAATTGGCAAACAAAAAAGCGGTCTGCAGCCTAATGTTTATTGCAGCTCAATTCACAATAGCTAAGACCTGGAACCAACCTAAATGCCCATCAACGGTAGACTGGATAAAGAAATTATGGGATATGTACTCTTTAGAATACTATACTGCAGTAAGAAACAACGAAATCCAGTCATTTGCAACAAAATGGAGGAATCTGGAACACATCATGCTGAGTGAAATAAGCCAGTCCCAAAGGGACAAATACCATATGTTCTCCCTGATCGGTGACAACTGACTGAACACCAAAAAGGAAACTTGTTGAAGTGAAAGGGACACTATGGGAAACGGTGACTTGATCAGCATAGCCCTGACTGTTAATGAACAACTTAATACATTATCCCTCTTAGTAGTTTTTTTGTCTGTTCTACTTAATATGACTGATTTAATTCTGTAATTAATACACAGTTATTCTTAAGTGTTGAAATTTAACTGAAATGTGATCCCTGTTAAACATAAGAGTAGGAATAAGAGAGGGAAGAGATATATAATTTGGGACATGCTCAAGCTGACTTGCCCCAAATGGTAGAGTTAGAAACACACCAGGGGACTCCAATTTAATCCCATCAAGGTGGCATGTACCAATGCCATCTCACTAGCATTTTTTTTTAAGTGTTTTTTTTTTTTTTTTAATTTGACAGGTAGAGTTAGAGAGAGAGAGAGAGGAAGGAAGGTCTTCCTTCCGTTGGTTCACTCCCCAAATGGCAGCCACGGCTGGCGCTGTGCCTATCCAAAACCAGGAGTCGGGAGCTTCTTCCTGGTCTCCCATGCGGGTGCAGGTGCCCAAGCACTTGGGCATCCTTCACTGCCCTCCCAGGCCATAGCAGAGAGCTGGACTGGAAGAGGAGCAATGGGGACTAGAACCCAGCACCCATATGGGATGCCGGTGCTGCAGGCAGAGGATTAACCAATTGAGCCACGGCGCCAGCCCTCCAAGTAGCATCTTAATTGGCATGCCAAATACGGGGCCCCAAATATAGCATTTATAAGGAGAGTTCTGTCCGAGATCAAGGATATTAAGCATACAATACTAAATAGGATCAGTTATTACTTAGCTTTTTATTTCTTAAAATACTGGAGAGGAGCTACTTAGGAATGACGAAGGTTTTTTTTCTGGCTTCTAGTTGGAAGCCCACAGTTTAAGATCACATGACCTCATTCATTTAAGCATCTGGGGAGGCTGAGGGATGGAGGAGGGATGATCACATGGTGATGCAGGAGCAGTCAGGAAAAACAAGCAGTGTATCCTGTGTGTCTGTGTGTCTCTGCCTATAAAACCATCATGATTCAATCATGAGACCTCTGCCACAGCAGCTTAATCCAATCTAAACACCTCTCAAAGAGCCCAGCTTCAGACACCATAACTGGATAAAACTCCAACCCTTATTAGCATTAATCCATTGTCAATTAACAAAGACTTTGGGAGTTTAAACATCCATGTGATTTTGGGGAGCCAAATCCTGTTCAAACCATTACAGATCCTTAGAGATTTAAATCATATGTGGAAGAAAAAATATTTCTACTTCTTGGCCCCCCACCCCATTAGAGGTCTACTAGGTGACAGACTACCTTTCTTTCATTCTTCCTCTCCTATTAGCGTTTGTTATTAGATAATGTATACTACTTAATTATTACAACACTTTTTAATTTGTTGGTGTGTTATATGTGGATATTTTCAAGGGTTTCCTGAAGTATGTATAGGAAAGCCCAGTTATCTGGAATCCTCTGGCAAGTTAATATTCAGAACACAGTGTAATGGAATAAAACAAAGAAGAAAACTCCTAAAGGTAACAGGTTCAGAGTTTGGTATTGTGACGCAGCAGGTTAGGCTGCTGCCAGTGGTGTTGGCATCCCATATGAGTGCCAGTTTGAGTCCTGGCTGCTGCACTTCTGATCCAGCTCCCTGCTAATGCACCTGAGAAAGCAGCAAAAGATGAACCAAGTACCTGAGCCCTTTCCACTCATGTGGGAGGCCTGAATGAAGCTCCTGGTTTTTGGATTCAGTGTGTTCCATCCCTGACTGTTGTAGCCATTTGGGGAGTTAAGCAGTGGATGGAAGACTATCTTTCTTAATAACTCTGCCTTTCAGATCAATCAATCAATCTCTTTTTTTTTTCTTCAAAGGTAATATGTCTAGGTTCTTCCACCAGAAAGAGCCATCTGGGCACATCATTTAACTTTTCTGAACTTTGGGTTCTTCATGTTGGAGATAAGGAGAGGACTAATTTATTTTAAAGTTCTCCTAAGATCTGATAATTTATATTGTCTGGGACATAGTAAAAAGAATGTAGTGAAAACAGAGTTATCTCTGAGTACTACAAAAAATGTAACAGAGTACAGTGAGGTTCATGTTTTTCCTTAAACAAAAGTACTCTCTCCATTTCTACGTATATCTGTTGTTTCTCACAAAGTATTAGTGTTGGTTGTGGCCCATTAATAACAGCCAAGGGGACATCTGACAAAATTAGTAAAACTTTAAAACTATTGTAACAAGAACTAAAAAAAATTCTGATTATCTGGATTAGGAAAGCCAGTGCAGGGCCAAATAATAGTCTTAAGAGCATCATTATAGTGTGGCAGGTTATATCAGTTGTTCATAATAACAAATGACTAATCAAGCAAGGGTTGCATTATCCTATTTTGTCTAAGATGGTGTCAGGCCTATGTAATACATTTGATGTAAACCCCATTAATTTAAAAAAGTTTAGAATTTTAAAATATCATTTTCTAAACATTTAATTCATTGATTCCTTAATGCTATTCTGTTAGAATATAAATGATTACCAGTATATATTCTGTTTCACCTGTGGGATCTGTCATCACCATAGATGGGATCTGAGTGATGTCTTTTTTTCTTGGGTTTAGCACTTGTTTTATGCCAGTTATAAGGAAATAATTACTTATTAAGGACATTTCTGTTAAAGAGAAGAACAAGATTTCTTGAATTGGTTTGTAGTGATCTGGTTTTTAAATAACTACTGGAAAAGATAAAGAAAGAATTTTCTAAAGAAAAATTAGTTAAAATTCTAAGCACCTCAAGTATCCATTAATATATTTTAAGATGTTATTATTATGGGCTTGTATCCCATGACTTAAAAGAGTACTTTTAGGTATTTATGAGGTAATTTCTAGGGGGGTATAGCTCTAAGAGTTTACTTGTGCTAATATGACCATGTTTGAAAGTTCAACTTCTTAGAATAAAGTTTTTACTGAAAACTTCAGTATAGTACAGTGTTTGTTATTCTGTGTGACAGGATACCCAGAGTTATACTGACGAATGTCCTGGGAACGGAGTTAGGAAGAAAATACATAAAGATCCCTCCTGTAACTGAGGCCAGTTTGAGTGATACAGACAACTTGAAATCAGAGAAACTTTCTTCATCATCTGATGACAGCCTAGAGACTTGTCAAAATCTAAATCCCCACAAGAGCTGTTGTTTATCTGAAAGGTACGTTCAGTGATAACTTACTCAAAATAAATATATTTATTCTCATTAACCCTCTCCCATTCTTTCCCTCACATATATGTTATTGCTAAACATGAGCTAAACGTGTTTTGATGGCTGGTATGACTTTTTTCCTTCTGTTGACTGCAGTGGCAATTAGAAAAAAACTATGGCTAATTACGGGTTTCAGAAGTATTGGTCACCACGCTTGATTTTGGAAAAATGGATGCAGATACTTGTTGAAAATGTAGGTTCATGAATATGGTATAATTATATTCCATTCTCCTAACATTAGTCTATTCCTTCCTCCTTCTCTGTTCTGTCCATCCATCTGTCTGGCTGTCCATCCATTTCTCCAGTGTCTTTCACAATTTTATTTATTTGCATATTTTTAAAACCTTCTCTTAATATCAGTAGAATAGATTTCATATATTTTATAGGCACAATTCTTTTTAAAAAGATTTATTTATTTATTTGAAAGAGTTATGGAGGGGAAGAGAGAAGGAGAGGGAAAAAGGGAGAGAGGGAAAGAGGTAAAGAGAGGGAGACAGGGAGAGAGAGGGAGAGAAGGAGAGGGAGAGGGAGAGGGAGAGTGAGAGAGAGAGAGAGAGAGAGAGAGATGGATCTTTTATCCCCAAATGGCCACTATGTCTAGGGCTGGGCCAGGCTGAGGCCAGGAGCCAGGAGCATCTTCTGGGTGTCCCACATGGGTCCAGGGGTCCAGGTGCTTGGACCATCTTCTACTGTTTTCCCAGGTGCATTAACAAGGAGCTGGATGAGAAGTGGAGCAGTTGAGACTTGAACTGGTGCCCATATGGGATACCAGCATTGCACAGAACATTGGCCTCCATAGGCACAATTCTAAGAATATAACCATACTTCCCTCCCTCCCTCCTTCCCTCCTTCTCTGCCTTCCTCCCTTCTTCCTTCCTTCCTTCCTTTTTTTTCAGTCTTTGCAAAAACATGATTTCAATTCACAAGAGAAGAGTAGAAAGACCAAAGTTTCATAGGAATATAAACAAGGGCTGAAAACAACAGTCAAATCATAAGATGTCCATTTCATTCCTATACTTTTTTTTGTGTTCTATATTAATTGCCACATATCAGAGACAACAATGATATTTGTCATTTTGAGACTGGATTATTTCACTAAGTATAATGGTTTCCAGTTGTATCCATTTTGTTGTAAAAGAAAAGATTATGGGTGACTAGTATTCTGTAGTGTATATATACATTTTCTTTACTCATCAGTTGATGGACATCTGGGTTGATTTTATGTCTTTGATATTGTGAATTGAGCTACAGTAAACATGAGGATGCAGATAACTCTTTTATATGTTGATTTCATTTGGATAAATTCGCATGAGTGGGATGGTTGGGTCATATGGCACATGTATTTTTGGCTTTCTGAGGAATCTCTGTACTGTCTTCCATAATGATTGTACTAGTTGACATTCCTATCAACAGTATATTAGTGTTCCTTTTCTCCTACATTGCTACCAGCATTGGTTGTTTTTTGAGTTTTGGATGGTAGCCATTCTAACTGGGGTAAGGTGAAACCTCTTTGTGGTTTTTATTTGTATTTCCTTGATGGCTAGTGATCCTGAGCATTTTTTCATATGCCTGTTGGCCATTTTAATTTCATCCTTTAAAAATACCTGTTCATGTCCTTTGCCCTTTTCTTAACTAGATTGTGTTTATTTTGTTGTTTTTGAGTTTCTTGAGCTCTTTACAGATCCTGGATATTAAATCTTATCAGTTGCATAGTTTCCAAACATTTTCTCCCATTGTGTCAGTTGCCTCTTCACTTTGTTGAGTGTTTCCTTTGCAATGTAGAAGCTTCTTAGCTTGATGTAATTCCATTTGTCTGTTTTTGCTTGGATTGTGCTATTTTTTCTTGGATTGGTCTTTCCTAAGAAGTCGTTGCCTATGCAAATGTCTTGTAGAGTTTCCCTGATGCTTTCTTCCAGTAATTTGATAGTATCAGGTTGTAGATTTAGATCCTTGATCCATTGTGAGTTGATTTTTGTATAAGTTTAAGGTAGGGGTCTTGTTTCATACTTCTGCATGCAGAGATCTAATATTCTCACTACTATTTGTAAGAGAACATTCTTACTCCAAGGATTGATTTTAGCTCATTTGTCAAAGATTTGTTGATTGTAGCTGCACAGATGAATTTCTGGGGTCTCTATTCTGTTTTATTGGTCTACATGTATATTTTTGTGATAGCACCAGGCTGTTTTGATTATAATAGCCCTGCAGTAAGTCTTGAAATATGTATTGTGATGCCTCTGGCTTTGTTTTTTGTTGTTTAAATTGCTGTAGCTATTTGGGGTCTTTTGTTTCCATATGAATTTTAGCATTGGTTTTCCTAGATCTGAGAAGAGTGTCATTGATATTTTGACGGGGATTGGATTAGAAATGTATATTGCTTTTGATAATATGGAGATTTTGATGATATTCATTCTTCCGATTCACATATATGGAAGATAGCTCCATTTTTTCTTTCCTCCCTCCCTCCCTCCCTTCCTTCCTTGCTTCCTTCCTTCCTTCCTTCCTGTTTATTTTCTTCTATTTCTTTAATGCTTTGTAATTTTGTCAAAGAGATCTTTTACCTACTTGGTTAAATTTATTACAAGGTATTTAATTTTTTTGTAGCTATTGTGAATGAGACTGAGCTTAAAAATTCTTTCTAAGCCATGGCATTGTGTGTTTATACAACAGTTATTGATTTTTGTGTGTTGTTTTTATCATGCAGCTTTACCAAGTGCTCTTATGAGTTCCAATAGTCTCTTAGTGGAGTCTTTTGGTTCCTCTCTATATAGGATCATATCATCTGCAAATGAATAATTTTACTTCCTCCTTTCCAATTTATATCCCTTTGATTTCCTTTTCTTGCTAAATGGCTCTGGCTAAAACATCCAGGACTATATTGAGTAGCAGTGGTGAAAATGGGCATCCTTGCTTGGTTCTGGATCTTAGTTGAATGTTTCCAACTTTTCTTATTCAATATGATGTTCATTGTGGTTTATCATAGATTGCCTTGATTGTGTTGAGGAACAGTCCTTCTAGACCCATTTTGCTTAAGGTTTTTTTTTTTTTTTAATCATGGAAAGATGTTATATTTTATCAAATGTTTTGTCTATTGAGATAGTCATATGGTTTTTATTCTTCAATTTGTAAATGTGATGTGTCACATTTATTGATTTGTGTATGTTGAACCATCTCTGCATACCAAAGATAAATCCCACTTGGTCTGGGTGCATGATATTTTTGATGTGTTGTTGGATTTGATTAGATAGTATTTTGTTTGATATTAGGATGGCTACTCTTTTTGCTTTTTCTTTCCATTAGCATGGAATATCTTTTTCCATCCTTTCACCTTCATTCCATGTGTATTTTTGTTGGTGAAATGTGTTTCTTGTAGGCAGCAAATAGATGGGTCCTGTTTTTGAATCCATTCAGTCAGTCTATATCTGAAATAGAGAATTTGGGCCATTTATATTCAAGGTTATTATTGATAAATAATGACTTGGTCTTGCCATTTTTTCCTTAAATATTCCTATCATTTGTTTTGGATTTCCTTTGTACTTTTATTAGATTTTCTACCTTTACATTCTTTCTTGATGATGGCTATCTTACTCTGTTTCTTTAGGTTTGAAACATATCCTTAGGTATTGCTTTTTAGACTGGACCAGTGGTGACACATTCTTTAAATTTCTGTTTGTTTTGGAAGATATTTATTTCACCTTCATTTCTGAGTGCTTTTCTGGGTTGACAGTTTTCTCCTTTTAGGACTTGTGTATGTCCCTCCATTATCTCCTAGCCTATACATTTCTGATGAGAAATCAGCTGTAAGTGTAAGTGGAGATATTGTAAGGGTAATCTGGCATTTCTCTTGTGCACATTTTAGAATCTTTCCTTTATGTTTTACTTTTGAAGGGTTGACTATAATATGTCATGGTGAAGATTTTTTTCTGATCATGTTTATTAAGAATTCTATGTGCTTCCCATACTTGGATGTCCCAGTCTTTCTCCAAATCAGGGAAGTTTTCTGCTATTATTTCACTGAATACGTGTTCTAAACCATTCTGTCTTTCCACACTTCCAGGAATTCCTAAGACAGGTATGTTTGGTCTTTTGATAGTATCCCATAAATCTTAAACATTATTTTCTGTTTTTCTAATTTTTTTCTGTTTTCTTTTTATCTGACTAATATATTTCCAGAGATTTGTTTTCTAGCTTAGATATTCTATCTTCTGCCTCCGCATGTCTGTTGTTAAGGCTTTCTGCTATATATATATTTTGTTTGACATAGTGGATTCTTCATTTCTAGTATTTCAGTTTGATTTCTCTTCAGTATCTGTCTCCCAGAAGAATTTTTCATGCATGTCACATTTTTATTCATTTTACTCATGTATTAACTTCTCTGTGTTTTTGAGTAATCTTATGTTAATTCTTTTGAATTCCTTTTCAGGCATTTCATCGATCTGTTTTTCTTCACATTCTAATATTGAAGTTTTGTTGTGTTTCTTTTGGGCAGTCACATTTTCTTCCTTATTCATTTTTCTTGTGTTTCTATTTCTATTTTTAGGCATTGGTAGAAACACTTGTTGGTTTTCTTCTCTGATGTCTTTTATCTTTTAAATATGTCTTTGTGACTTGGTGGAATGTCTTCTCCTTCACTGGATATCCGAGGCAATTGCTGTCTAGGGCCATGGAGTTCAGGTCAGTGCTTGAGGGTAGATCCAATGTGACACCCAAGTTGAGCATGGTAGATCTCTCTTGTCTGCAGGAGGAAGGTTACAATCATGTCGGTGGCATGATCACACCATTAACCACCCTCTACCAAGTTGAACCAACCACCCAGGATAAGCCCGCAGTACTAGACACCTTACCCATGCAGGTGCACGAACTACACAAAGGGTCTGTGCACTCCTTGGTGTGAGCACTGAACCCTGAGCCTCTGGAGCCAGACACAGTGATTACCCAAAAACCCAGGT